AGGATCAAGAATATACCAAAATGGATGCAAGTAATTTTCTTGCTCAAAGTTTAAATAAAGGTCCATGGCATGCACGATTTATCCGCTTATGGACAAATCAATGGATTAACAATGGTATAATTATTACATCCAATCATGGTTGCTATCCAAAAACCAAATCTCTACTTTTTCATGAAGATTTCAAATTACAAATTATTGAATATTTACGTGAACATAAATTCAAGTTAAATATTGCCGATTTTATAAAATTTATTGAGAATGAAGTAATCCTTGCACTTGGTATAGAGTAAAAAACAAGTATTTCATACTCAACTGCACATAAATGGTTACATATACTTGGTTGGAAATATAAGAATCATTCAAAAAATATTTATTTTGATGGTCATGAGCATGAAGACGTAATAATAGACAGATAACAATTTTTGCAACAGTGGATAGAATTAAGAAAACAAATGGCTACTTATCAAGGTGAAAACTTAGATCAGATTATTTTGCCTATACTTCCAGATGGTGTTCTTGAAGTGGTTCCTGTTATTTATGATGAATTAATCTTTTATGCCAATAATGATGCTATTAAAGCTTGGGGTCTAATGGATGAAAATCGATTTCGTTGCAAATAACAAGGTCTTAGCATTCATGTTAGTGAATTTCTTTGTGAATCTATTGGACGGCTTCAGCTTTCAAAAGAAGAATGTACCATTAAGAATCTACTTCCTGACAATGAGCAGCTTTTATATATTGAGGCTTGTATTACAATGTATCCTGATATAAACCATGATGGCTGGTGGACAAACAAAGATGTGATTAAACAAGTAAATGGACGAGCTATTCCAATATTTGAACATACTCATCCAGAAAAGATAGCATTATTTATGTTTGACAATAGTTGTAATCATAATGCATTTGCCGATAATGCATTAGTGATCTCAAGAATGAATATGAAAGATAGTGAAAAACAGCCACTTCTTTGTAATGACAAAATGCCTAATGGTTCACCTCATATTATGACATTTATAGATGCTAATGGTACAATAAAACCAAAAGGTATTCAACGAGTTCTTGAAGAGTGTGGTTTATGGATTCCAGGCTTGAAAAAAAAATGTAATGCATGTATACAACATAACTTTGATCCAATTAAACTGGATTGTTGCACAACACATATTCTTTCAATCCAGCCTAATTTTATGTCACAAAAAATACATTTACAAGAGGTAAGTTATAATTATATAATTAATTAATATTCAAAAATTAAAAAAAAACTTATCTTTCTAGCTTATCGAGGCAGCAGGACATATGTGCATATTTTATCCAAAGTTTCATTGTGAACTTAATTACATCGAGTCTTTTTGAGGAAAAGCAAAGCGATATTCACGTCTTCACTGTAATTATTCATTCAATGACCTTAAGAAAGTTGTATCACGTGCATTAGCTTCAGTTAGTTTAACAAAAATTCACCGATTTTTACGTCGTTCTGCATGTTATATAAGTGCCTACGAACTTGGGCTTTCAGGTAAAGCAACTATCTTTGCAGTTAATCTCATCGTCGAGTTCCTGCAAATGTTTTAGAAGAATTTGAAAAATTAGATATGGTTGTTATATAGTAAATCAAGGCTTAGAAACAAATTTTAATTTGTAAATATCAATCTAGATTTATATATCGAACCTTACATAATAAAAAAACTGTGTGCAAGATTATACAATGTATATAAACATTTATTGTGAATGAAGGACATTCTTTCTCCTAATTTGTTATGCAACAGCTCATATAGTTATAACTTTATGCACTGTTATTGTTTTTTCTGGCTAACCCGGAACCAGCAGTCGTGTCACGATTAAGTTTAAGGTAAGTTTTCCTGCTTGAGGCATGTTAAGATTTGATCAGTGGTTTCTTTATTAATATCACTTCCTTCTTAAACCAGGCTTTTTCCTAATCCACGCCACAGTTCCTCTTTCGGCCTTACTGGATTCTAATTGGAGACAATGGTTTCTCTTTAAGGCAAGTCTTTTTATTAATTAAGAAAATGCATTTATTATCACTCTTTTACAAATGCAATCACTATCCCTTTTATTAGGCTATCCTACTTCTATTTATACTACTGGCAAATTACCTTAAGCTCAATATGATAAATACATTCCTCCACACTTATTTATACACTCCATTTATAAAACTCCAACTAACTCACCACACCATAATACATTCTATCTTCATGACTAGTTGTATATCCGTTGCCGAATTCTGAGATGCGCTAGGTGATTCTTTCATTTTTGACTTTTTAGATTTAGCATTACAGTTTGCCATTACTGGTGGTGGAGTATCAGATGGTTGAGTTTCGCCGGCTATATTGGTACTACTGTTGGTTGGTTGCTGTTCTTTCGCCAGTTTTACTTTCATTAACTTATTATTGTCTTCCACAATTTCTGTCTCCACATCACATGATATTTCTGGACTCCAGATTCGTGCGACTGCTCAACTTTGCATTTCTTTTGATTTGACCAATCCCAGTGACATTAGCGACTACACAAGCGATCCTATCGATCAGGACGATGTCATTCATCCTTAATCTAGTGACGGTATTCGGTCTCTGCGTCATCAACTTTTCTAGGATGTTTCATTGGTGTGGAATCGTTGGCTGCCGGCATGCTACAGGTAAGTTGTAAAGTCTAACAGTTTTGTCTTTCAGTGCGCACGACTGTTCCATCTTGATTACAATTGCTATTATTTTGGTGTTCGGGATGTTACTAGGGTGCATCGCATCACCATTACGTACTCAGATTTCTGGACAGTACTCTCGATCACGTTCCCATACTCAATCATAAGTTCTTTTACGGGACTTTCTGTTCAAACCGTCCTATAGATCCTTATCATCGTGCATAGTGCTAGTTTTGCGAAGACACCCGAGTATGTTACCGTAAGCTTTGTTCGTACTCGCGTAGAAACACTCTTATTACTCATTGCCATGATGCCGGAACGGTGCGCAGCCTGAACATCTTGTCACCCGATGAGTGCACTTTCCAAGTAATCACAGACATCGTTTCCCTTTCTTGATTCATCATTTTGTGCCCTGGTCGTCCTGATACGTATAATATGCTTGACTAGGGTATTATCGCTGGCATCGATGGTACGTCGCATCATCCCAGAGCACCCTGTTTCTTGGATCATTCTTCCAGAAGCCCTTTCCACTCCGATGTAATCCTCACCACATGGTTCTGCTGATATTTCTGTTGATGCCGTGAGTTGTTCGCTTGCTAACACTTTCGTTTATCCAGATCGGTCCCCAGGTCTTTTATCTATTATGTCAATGGGTATTTAATAGTTAATTAATTTTTCCTAATTTTGGGTGTACGTAATTTTTATCAGGGGGTAACAAGCGTCCAATCTCCAATCACTACCAAATGTTATTATTTTTTCTGGCGAGTTTGTCACTAACCTGGGACCAGCACTCACATCACAATAAGTTTAAGGTAAGTCTTTTTGCTTGAGGCGTGTTAAGATTTGGTCGGTGGTTCCTTTATTAATATCACTTCCTTCTTAAATCAGGCTTTTCCCTAATCCATGCCACAATTTCTCTTCCAGCCTTACTGGATTTTACTTGGAGACGATAATTTCTCTTTAAGGCAAGTTTTTTTATTAATTAAGATATGTTTATTATCATTCTCTTACAAATGCGATTACTATCCCTTTTATTAAGCTATCTACTTCTATTTATACTACTGGCAAATTACCCTGCATCATGTGACTGCGCCACACCACGCATATCCATTTTGCACCAATTATATACTTTCACGTGATATTATATGGTGCTGAAAAAATCCACTATTATTATTAAAATTGATATTTAATAAAATCTAACTACAAAAAATTTTCATAGTAAAATCAATAAAAAAAATATGTTGCATTAAAGATCATATTAAGAACTATTAAACTACGTATTTTTTTTAAATATTTATTAATTAAATAAAATTCCTTTATATTTTAAAATTATTAAAAATTATTGGATGTGACTAGACTATTTGCACCATATAATAATTAGTCTTTTTTTATTTTTCTTTTAATTACTATCAAATATTCAAATACAAACAACTATATCACTATTACTATCAACAATGACTCAAGAAATAGTTATTAAAAGAATATATTATTAACACTATTCTATATCTTGAGCTATAGCCTAGCTATTCTGAAAAGTACTACTATACTTCAGGAAGGTAAAACTATTAAAGTTATATTTGATATTATTTATATTATAATTAGTTTTTTTTGTTATTTTCTTTTTATCCAGCATTTTCTTTTTTTACTTTTATATTTTCTTAAATTTTATTTTATATAATTCTAAATAGATATTTATAGTTGTTTGATACTATTTTAGATATACAGTATTCATATAAAATAATATTTAATTTGTATATATAACTATTACAAAAGTAATACTTGTAATATTTTTTAATTTTAATATAAAAATTATATTTATTTACTTTTTTATAATTTATAAATACTGTTACTTTATTACATAAAAAATAACATTTTCCATATCCAACCTATAAATATAGACAAAAGCAAAATTCTCACTTTTTCAGAATTTTGAATATTACACAGATTGCTCAAAAAGTTAAACAAAATCCAATTACCATATATTGTTTTATTAAAAAATACAAAAAAACAGAAAGCATTAAAATCTATTATAATCAGGCAGGCTTTCTGTTCTAAATAATCAAAAAAAATGTATACTTATTTAAAAAGCAATAAAAGAATGATGCTTATTATTATATAAAATTATAAGCAAGTTAGAGCTTAAATGTAGTTTGTTAATTGCTAAAATACTTCATAGCTCTGGATTTTATTTATATATTGTAACTCAAAAGCTTTTCATTTCAAAAAAACACGCAAGTGCTTATATTAAGTGATACAAAAAAAAAAAACAAAAACATAACTGTTTGCAATTGGCTATTATTATTTTTTGATAAAAGTAGTATTGAAATAGGCTAGCAGTTGTGACAAATAAGAGTTTAACGACACAAAGGTGAAAGATTTGAAGAGAATTGTATTCATACTTTTAAAAGTAAATGATAATCAGTTATGGTTTGGAATATTTTGTGAAAGAATTAAAAGGTCCTTTAATTTTTTGTGATGAAAATAAAAAAAAATATGAAAAAATTAATGCAAGTATTTATGTTAGAATTTTAGATAAAAATTTGTATTTTTTTTTACATGTTATTATGGAAATAAGAAAAGAAAAACTGATCTTTTAACAAGATAACATGCTGATTCACATTATGAAAATTATGAACAAATAGTTAAAGGTAAAAAAAATTAAAACTATGAATTGGCCCACCAAGTCTCCAGATATAAATTCAATAGAGAATATTTGGAAGTTGCTTAAGGAGAAAATTCAAGGTTATTATAATTTCCCAAAAATGATAGATGAGCTAAAAACCACATTAAAAGAAGAATGGAAAAACTTGATATCTTTATTCTTAACAAAGTTATTGCTTCCATGCCTAGAAAAATAAATATAATGCTAAAGGCAAAGAGGGGTAACAAAATATTAATATGTTGTATATATTAAAATGTATATAAAATAAAATTTTTTATTAAAAAAAATGGACATTACTTTATGCAGGTACTGTATATTGGTTTTAATATTTATTTTATTTGTCACTTAAATAGTTTCTATAGGCAAACTAGCATTAAACTTACTAATTAGTTGGTCATTTGAGAGATGTTGTCACTTTCTACATGTAAAATTATTTTGAAATTTTTACAATAATAAAGAGATAATGTTTACCTACAAAAAAAAAATTAATTAAAAAAAATTAATGTTCATGTTGGTATCACTTAATAATTTTCAATATAATTAAAATCATCCTAATGCGGTTTTACCCATTTGTACATATAATGATTCAGTATGTAATAAATAATAAAGTATCATATGCTTACATAAGTCGATAGTAGAGAACACTATTATACTCTATAAGCCATTTAAAGCCACCATGAATTACAAGATAATCATATGTTCTATACTTCCCAGGCTTCCTAATTTTATTACCATACACCAATCAATTTTTTGCATGTCCTCTGATTTATAAATATACACATAGTGCAGAACTTTAACAAGACCGGCAATAGCTCAGTTGGTAGAGCGGGAGACTGTAGTGAGCATGTTAGGCTTAACTGATATCTCTAGGTCGCTAGTTCAATTCTGGCTTGCCGGAAGTTTCTTTTTGTTATTTGAGATCTAAATTAGCCGATTTTATATGTACGTATTCTATGTTTATTGTGACATACTTGGTTTGACTGTTAAAATTAACATGACCTCTTTACATCCTTTAGCATACAATTAGAGATCAGTCGTGTATTTTTACATCACAGAAAATCAATGTCGTCCATCGATTCTTTCTTTAATAAAATTATGATTATGTCTATTTTTGAATATAATTAAGTGATTATGTAGTGCTACAATATATTTTGAATGTTTACGATCATGTGTGCAAAAGTGTATGATAAAAAATATACAAAAAGTAATGGATGCAAATACTGTTATGAACAGGTACATGCGCTGTAACATGTTACGCGATCACTGTATGCACTAAGAGGGTAGAATTAGATAAAGATATGACGCGTCTGAGATTAATTCGCTGACGCGCCTGGGGCAGATAAATGGGTGGATAGAATAATTAATTGTAGAGGGAATCTGACCTGTCGTCAAATATAGTTTAACAATACACTTGTAATAGTAAAAAACACGACAAAGAAGAATAAAGGCTAGGTTTGGATAATCGAGTCATCTATCAGAAAAAACCACGCCTCAGGGGTCAAAGCCTTACATTTAGTTTTAAAGTAGCCAAGACATGACGCAAAGCTGTGGGAACAGAGGCAGCCTCGCCGCCATAACAGCGGTATTTATCTGGAACCAGCCACGATGTATTGGTTAACTAGCTTAAGCCTTCTATGATCTGCGGAATAAAGTATACGTTCTAGCTTCGGGCTTGCTAACTTAACTAAATCTTTAACCTCTCATAATAAACCGGCAATAGCTCAGTTGGTAGAGCGGGAGACTGTAGTGGGCAAAGCTGGTATCTCTAGGTCGCTAGTTCAATTCTGGCTTGCCGGAAACTTTTTGATTCTTTTGCACTTTAAATTTTTTAATCACATTCTCTTTATATTGTCTTCGATACAAATTTGATTCTAACCCTCTTTTCTGAACAACTCTTCATACATGCCTATGAGTTGGCATATCATTTTTACTATTGTAAATCACGCTCCCCGCTAGTTTTATTTGATATGGTATATGATAATAAATACAATTAAATTATTTATAAATGAATGTTTAGCAACTATATTGTATATTTGAGTTTACGTACAGGGCACATAACGATTGCAATGGATAAAAAGCACAGTATGCTTATATGAGTTAAAAGCCTCAATGAAACAAGCCATTTTAAGCCACCCATGCATTACGAAATAAGCATGACTATCGGAATTTTCTAATTTTAATTAACCAATCTTTGATTTACAAGTACTATACTAACAAAACTTAAACAAGACCGGCAATAGCTCAGTTGGTAGAGCGGGAGACTGTAGTAAGCATCTAGTGCTTGAACTGATATCTCTAGGTCGCTAGTTCAATTCTGGCTTGCCGGAA